GGTCTTGAGCCAAAGTTAAACTAATATCTTGGATTTACAGCTTTGGTATTTGGGATAAAGATCCCAGCAAGTTGTTTTAAGGATCATTAATAAGGAAATATCTTGTAACGTGGTATAAACTTAATCATTATTTGGCATTAACCGGTTTTGTTCGTGACTTGTTAGTTTGTACGTGATAAAATCGCTAAATTTTGACCCATTAGTTCTGTTATTCTCTAAAAACTTACTTCTTTGAGTTGCGATATCCGTCTACAAAAATATTTTTGTTCAACAAAATATTTTCAGTCTACAAAAATAATTTCCAGTCTACAAAAAAAGTTGTGGACCTAATCTATGATTCTTAAGTTCCTTATCTATGAACTTACCAGATTCTGGTCAGAACGGCCTGAGCATGCTAAATTTTGGTCAACACGGTTTGAACATAGAACCACCAGCTCGACCCGGGAAGTTTGTTGCATTCACTTTTTTTCGCAATTCAAGTACATACCCGGTATATTTAGTAGATTGATGGATTGATGTAGTCTAACGCGAAGAAAAATAATCGAAGAATGAAGTGAAAATCTCTCGTGTAGACGTATGAAAATCTTGTTTGGTGTTATTGAGGGTTAAAATCGAAATCAAATGCAAACAGATGATTTCAAGTTGGCTTCAAAAGTTTTTTTAATGCATTATATTGTTAATTCCAATCACAACGATTTACTTTTTCTCTGTCGCCATTGTTTTTGTCAAACAACATTAACTTAGCAATAGCATGTGATATGCATCAAACATCAGATATTTATTTTAACTGCAAACATCCTTTGGTAAGTTAAAATAATCGGTTCGCATTGCTTAGGTTATTTGCTCAAATGAATTGTATTTTGGCACTCCATTTTCCGAACTCTGCAATTTAATCTGGAGTCCAACACCGAAAACGTGAGATAAACTTTTCAGCTATGATTTTTAGTTTCTAACAAAATTCGAATGTTATAGGCTGTTTGAAAAATTGGAATAAAAACAAGTGATATATATATCAAATGTATTGGGTTTTAAAACGTTTACAAAACTAGTCCAGAAGAGAGCTCGCTTTTCTCGAAAGATCAGGTCTGAATTTTACCGAGCAATTTTTGAATAAGGTCTTTTGTTCTAATGCGTACCCATATTCAGTTTGCACTGTCAATAATCAAATATAGTTTGATTTTAGCACCAGCTTTTCTAAAATTGATAAAAATTGAACTGAATCGTTTTTTTATTATCGTCTATAATGTCTTCTCTGATTTCAATTCTAATCAATTATATTACAATTTAATCGATTACAATCGATGCTTAACCGACACAGTGGCGATGCATTAACAATCATTTATAATAGATTTACTCGGTTATTTTAACACAATTTCTAATTCACATATTTTGCACAAAAATTCCATTATAATTGAGTTTATTTCATTGTATCAGAACATTGGTATAGTTTGATGAATTGATTGCAAGATTTATTTTTCACCTACTGGAACCTTTCAAAATGAAGTAATTTCTACGAAAAATTTTTTTCAAGTAAAAAAATTGTGTTCAGGTCAGGAAAATTGTGAAAGGACATCTCAATTTAGAAATTTTGTGATAACAGAGAAATAATAATTCATAAATTACAATGAAATTTACTTTCGTTGTGATAAATTTTTGGCAAAATTAAAGATTAAAGAGTTTTTTGGATGAACTATAATCGTTTATAATCGTTATAAGAGATTATAATCTCTTGGAAAACATCACAATTATTATCAATTGTACATCCTATGAACGCCTAGATTTTGTAAATTTAATCAGTTATATTGTCGAAAAATCATCATGAAAGTTCTTCATAATCAATTTTTCAGTCCTATGCCTGGATGCGGGTAAAAACAAGTTTTCAATATTTGCAATAGCTGCCTTTGTTCACCCATGAGAAATTATAGGTCAGCATTACCAAAAAATCTGTTGTCTTGGTAGCATGCTTAAGTACATCTGTTGGGATCAAGTTTTTTTATTTTTAACTTTCTTTCGTGTTTTATAGACAAAATTTTCAAATTAATACTAGAGACATTATTGTAGTTTTTGATTCTGCCGCTCTAAACAAAATCACTGTCAAAACTGATACCGCGCTAGACAAAAAACTATTAGTCTGAAGCTTAGGAGTTGTATATAATTCAGTCTTTTGGAAATTATCAGCAAATTCAATTTTAAGGTGAACATAAGGCTAGTTATGACATAAAAAGTGAACGTGTATAATTGTAGCCAACGGAAAGCAACTGTCCAGGAAATGACTTCCCAATTTTGGCTTACTGTCTGTATTTGCATAAACATTTGATCAATTTTTTTAGAGCATGTGATTCACAGAGCATGGAATTTGAAACGTGGATAAAAATAAAGGATTTTCTAACAGATTTTAATTGTATCAAAAACTAGATTATTAAAAAGTTTTGTAATTGGTTATGTTTTGATTTCAACATCGGAATATATTTTCGATTGTTAGTTGATTACAGTAACTTTTTCTCATTTTTTTAAAAGACGGGTACTAAATGGTAATTAGAATGATGAATTACGGTTGAAACTGGATGGGGGAACATTCGTTTTGCAATAAAGCTCTCATCAAAAACTCAATGATAAAGTCTTTAAAAAAGTCAAATATACTAGTGTTTTGTGTAGTGGAATGCCGAGTCGCTAAATTGACATTCGTCGCATTCAAATGTAACTGGATTGATAAGCACAATGGAGTTCTATTCCTACCTACCCAACATTAGGGCCATTAGAAACTTAACTTCATGTTTGGAAACCTATTAGACTAAGACTGCGCGTATACCAGGGCAAAGCCCTGAATATTGCGACCGCCCTTTTATCTATATCGATTAGTTTTTTTTTGAAAAAAAAAAACATGAAAAACTATAAATTTTGGACAAAATCAACGATCAAACAAATCAAAATACGATCAAAAAGATAGATTTAGCTCCTTGTAACTAATCAATTATGGCAAATAAGCTCCTTTTAATCAATTTGGAACGATTTTAAGACGGATTAACTCTCCGCTTACGCGTTAATAGCGCGAAATATATCGCGCGTTAATTGTCCCAAATTGGCCAAAATGGCAATCTTTAAACCCCCATAACTTTACGAAAAATAATCACAGGTGAAACATCTCTTCAAATTTGAGCTCAGGACTACAATACCTTTCGAATGATATAAAAAAAATTCCGTCAAAAATGGCTAGTTAAAAAGTCAAAATTTGTCTAAAGAAAAAAAACCCACCCCGAGCATAAATATTCCGTTACTTTCGCATCGAAAGTCGGAACAATAATGTGAAATTCCATGTCGAGCTGATCTAAATTTGTTTCGGCATAACTGATTTTAATGTACCACCAATGCCTAAAATTTTCAAGAGTAATTAATTACCATAGTCTAACTCCCTTTATATATGGTAAACTACTGGCCCCCATGTAAAAATATATCGATCAAATTCGAAAAAAGGTTTTGCTGCTGGATTGATACTTTGATAGTTCATCTCAAAACGCGAATTTTTCTTGGCGTGGAAAATTATTATCCGCACTCACAAACGTTCCAATTAAAAATGAGGCAAGCTAACTGATCTTATTATTTCCATAAATAATTGAAATTTTAACTCTTTGATATTATCAGCCTGAAATTTGTAGTTTGTAAACTTTTCAGATATCAAAAACGATTCGAGGCGAATTATTGTCGGAACATTCAAGGTTTTGCCTTAATATGAGCAGTCTTGTCTGTATATACTGTCTGATTCAGATTTTTTCTTCATGAAAAACTGGATTTTTCCGCTCGCAACGATCATTCTCTTTTCTTTTTTGCTTGCAACTATTATTCGAATCAAACCAATTATCCACATTTCCATTTTAATTGGAGAACCTAATCGCCGTTGTTCGTTTGTTGTTTTAGTAGGGCTTTTTAAATGTAAAAACACGTTAGTACTGACTAATGAATCTAAATTTATTTTTTGATTCCTGGAAAACTTTGAAAGCATGTTATTCCCAGTTTTTTTTCGAATATTTTCAAGTTATTGCTACCCTACAGCTGATTATCCAAAGGCCTTAGAAACATTTTTGGTTGTTGATTTTTTTTTTAGATTTTCAGTTTCAGGTGCAACACTAATCAAGCCAAATTAAAACAAAATAGGCCTGAATCTAGTTTAAATTTTTTAAAACTAATCTACGAACCTTGCTTATAGATTTCTGAATACACATCAACGAAAAAATTTGAAATGAAATTCCAGAAAACAATCATATTTAATTTTTCATCAACACTCAAGCTCACTGCAGGCTACCGTTTTCATAATTTATCATGGTACTTTGGAAACTTCATACCTTGTCTGATACATAGTCTAATGGCTGCTTTTTAATTCATTGAAACTTAATGAAATTAATGAATGGATATCTTATCAAAATCTTTATACAGGGAAACCAGCACAGTGCGACCTATAATCGAGCTAGCCAATAATTTTTACAAAATTTTTATTGTTTTCGATACTTGTGAGTTAACCATCATACTACGATTAGAGCAATTGAAAAAATAGCAAGCTTGGCACTAAATGTAAGCTTTTTAAAGCTCAATCCTAATGCGTTAGCATGTAATATACAAGAACAGTTCGTTTAGTTGCATTACAATTAGTCTAAAAATATTCTGAACATAACTTGTACAAAAATTTCATACAAAAGTTTCTCACCAATCACACAATTTTCCTACATGAAGAAAGCTAATCATACACTTTTTTAAGCAATTACATAAATACAGAAATTGCCTGAAAGGTCTATGATTAGCTATTTTTTCATATTTGGGAATTGTATGACTATAATTTTTATCTAAGCTATTTTTTTTATATTTTACTTTCTCAAAATTGTTTGGTTGTTCGTAACCCAGCACAAGTTACAAAAACCTTGGTTACTCCAAGTAGAGTAACCAAAAGTTCGACCCTCTCGCATAAAAAATGCACTGGAAACGGCCTGAAATGCCCTAATTCTGTTTCACACAAATAATATAACGAAAGTATTAAAGTTTTGAATTTTGGCAAAAATATTAAACGATGATTGCTTTTAAAAATTGAATTTTTAACTTTTCAGACAATGATCAATGCAAACATTATCATATCATACAAAAAAGTAAGAGTTTTAAGCGTTTTTGAAAAAAATGAATGAATGAAAAGGAAAAAATCCAATATTAGTGTATCCAGGACTACGCTATGCACGAAAAAAACTTTGTATGCAAATGTTTTTTTTAAATGTTTGTTTGAGTACAAAATTCGATTTGCGATTGAAAAATAAAATTGGGGCAATTTCAAAATTACTTGAAAAAGTTTTTGTTTTCGCCGTCAAAAAAACGCTAGTCATAAAATTTCCATGTATGGAAATTGTATGATACGCAATTTTTTTGACAAAACATTTTCTTTTTTATTTGCACGATACACCGAATGTTTTTCTCCAAAACAAGAAAAAAGTTCTTCAAAGTTTGATAGCACCATTTTTTCAAAATGTATGAAATTTGTATGTCTAGTATTTTTCATATACTTATTTTATGGAATTGTATGACTAGCATTTTTGGTCTATGAATGTTAACCCGGGTTAGGTGCGTGAAATTGGAACTCATTCGCCGTTGAATGCTTTCTGCTTTACAACGCAATTACGTGCTATTTAGATACCTTGCATTACAAATTTACCTTGCATTTCACATTAGACGATACATAGGAATCATTCCACTCTACGAGCATGTAAAGATCAATTTAAAAAGTATAGACGTAATATGATTACGAAAAAGTTGATACAAGATTAATTAGGGATTAACTTAACCCCATACAACTAATGATCCCTTTAGTGATCATCATACTCACCCCCAATCCTTAATTAATTTTACTACATTTCACATTTCTAATGACTATGTGTTTTTTGCGTAAGTCCAGAGTTAAAGTTTTTACTCTTCTTCATGGTACGAAAAACAAAAAAAAAAACAAGACACAATTTCCATTTTTTAAGTTTTTTGATGTAAAAGCCTTCCCAGGTTACCTGTCCAAAGGAGTCCGTCCCTGGGGAAATCCCTGGAGCTAGGACTGACCAGGGAAAAAACATGTCCCGGAGCAGTCTAAGAGTATTTCAAGTTGTTCGGTTGAGTTTTTAAAATTGCAAATGTTTTCGAACCTGTCCGAAAACATAACAAGCCATAGACTATTTTCATATAAGAAAACGAATAGATTAATTGGCAAAGTCTCGCAGAAACACTGCATTTGTAGATTCACCATCATAAATAAAATTCGAAGTTTTCATAAATTAATGATAAATATAACTTTTACTATGCGGCTGGATGATTTTTACCTAAAAAATTGTGTTTGAAAATTTTAAGATGCCTTTTGTCATCTTTACCTTAATCTTAACATTTGAAAACACCAAAAACAATAATTATGGCTCCAAAAGAAACGTTCATTTTTAATTTTTGGTTCTTCTGTGTGAAAAATTGAGCATGAACTACGCCAAAAAATGTAAAATTCCGCATGAAGTTTTTTTCCGAAACTAGTTGCGGCAAAAATTAAATTAAGAACAAAAATTTGTAAACAACTGCTGATTTTCTGGATTTGCTGGAAGGGTGTTTAACACGCGTCTTTTTGCCCCTGCTAGAAAGTCCTGGATTGACATGGACTCTTTAAATTCCTGACAGGGAGCCCAAGTTTTTCCCGTGGCTATGTAATCCGGGTTCTGGCCACAAGCACAAAATTACGGTTTTCACATTTAGTCAAAAAAATTAAATCTGAGTGACACCGTATACTTTATCTGTACGAACAATCTCAAAATGCAGTTTAATTTGAAATTTGAAATGCACTAACATACCAGTGGGTTCTATTTTTTTTATAGAAAATCCTTGTTTTTTGTGTTTTTCAAATAAAAAATGCTACTAATGAAAAATGCTAATCAAACAAGTTTTATTCATGAAAAATTGTTTATAATGGATTTTTTTACTCAACTTTTGATACTAATGGATTAAAACGGAACTTTAGGACAAAGTTTTAGATATGAAAATTGTATGATCAGGGTTTCTGAATTTTTCTGTGAATTTTTTTCGAAATTTTCTGAATTCACCTAAAAATATTCAGCAAATGAAAGAAAAATTGCAATCTCCGATGATGGTCATATTTCAGTTTTACGGACTCCCAGGATTTACTAAAAATTTAATATTTGAACACGATTTTAAATTGGATTGACTTAAATAAAGTTCGATTTTCTTTTAGTTTTGAAAGTGAGTTTAAATTTTTGCGAAACCCAGCTGAATACTAGCTTAGGCCCAGTGATTCAAATTTTCAAACCGTTTTATCTGAAATTTTACTAGTAATTCTACATGTGATCATTTTTTGTAATGTCATGGGAGTTTAAATATTGCCAATTCAGGGCGTTTTTTTTTGCCAATTTGGGCAGTAATATCATGAAAAAATTCAATGTAATAAAATATAACGATATTTTTTGAATATGAGATTTTTTGAGAAAATCATCTCCCCACACGCCAGAAAGGGTACAAAGTGATAGATTTCGCTCTTAGTATGGAAAATAAGCTTCTTTCAACCAATTTGAAACAATTTCAAGACGGTTTAAAACTCCGCTTACGTGTTAATGGCGCGCAATTTATCGCGCTATTAACACGTAAGCGGAGATTTAATCCGCCTTGAAATTGTTCCAAATGGGTTGAAGGAAGCTTATTTGCCATACTAGGAGCAAAATCTATCACTTTGGACCTTATTTTGCGTGTGGGGAGATGATTTTCACAAAAAATTCTCTTTTTCAAAAAAAAATCGTTATATTTTAATTTTTTCATGATATTACTGCTCCATAAACCTTAAAAGGCAGTCGGAACAAGCGTAAAAGGCTTCGCTCTGATACAAGCAGCCTTTTTCCGAATTAAATCTTAAAACAATATGAATATGCTAGCTTTATTATCTGTTGGTTATAATTTTAGTTGTACAATGAGCTTCGATAGCTGGATGAAAGAAGGCCAAAATCTGGAACAAAAAGATTGTGCCAATAAATCACCGGCAGTGACTGAAAAATGGATAGATAAAAGTTACGAAGCTTTTTGCAAGGCAGCTTTAGCAGCTGTGTTTCGATGGCAGAAGGAGAAAGCTCTATCGTGCATACAAAGGTCGCTGGAAAGGAAATTGATTTTCTGTAAGAAGAATCCAGCAAGGTGCAACGACATAACTGGTCTTAAACTGAACGATATTACCAAAATATTCCACTGGATGAGCTATTTGCAGCTGGTTACCAATGAAGAAACATCTGGATTTGACGAACTGAGTGAGAAGATTAGCTTGGTGGTCTTTGTTTTTGAGTTGGAAGAGCCAGAATTGAGTAAGGACTCAATTTTGTCCGCTATGGCCGAAGGTAACTACTGATTTTAAGGCTAACTTTGCACCCAAATCATCATTGATATATTTAATAGATCAAGTACCGAAAGTGAACTCAATCAGAAAGAGAAGGCGGTGATTTCTCAGCGGATGTCAAATTAGTTTTCACAAACCAAAACTGTGACTTCATTTAATGTTTCATCCGAAAAAATCAAATTTATGAAGTCGGTTTTAGAGCGTTTTGTTCTAACTTTGCAGCAAAAGTAGAAAAAAACTTTAAATTTTTCTGGTGTATGGACATGGTAGTGCAATCTGATTAGAGTTTCATTTCCATTCCGCCTTTAGCATTAGCATTAATTCACATAAGATTTTTTTATTTTTATGAAATAATCGTACAAATCAATCCTGATGCAACCTATAAAACCCCTCTATTCATTCAGAAAATTTCTTCTCAAATCAACCTACAGAATGGATGGAGCAAACGCGGTTTTGAGAAAAACCTCGAAAATTCGGTATTTCAATAGATCTAGACTTAGGAAAGTAAGAGCAGAATTAAGAATAGGGAGTAAGACGTATCTTTCCGAAAATAAGATAGCATGAGGTACTGAGGATGTAATGATTCAAAACTGCCCTATGAGTTGATCGTCCCGGTTATATATTATCTGATGCGGTAAGCAAGGCTTAAAAAGCCCAAAAAAACTCAAATAAAAAACAAGAAACTAAATTCTTGTTTGATTAGAATCTAATCGGAACAGCAAAGTTCAATCTAAATGCTAAAGTTGAATTTTTGAAAAAAGTCAAGTTTTTACGAGTCTTGCGTTTTATAAAATTCAGAAGAAATGCGGCGTTATAAAGTTCAACTAAAAACCAACCAGGTTTAATCTTAATAAATTTTAATCTCTTAAGTTTTTTTAAGAGAAAAGTGGTTATCAGAAGGAATAAACCTATTTCCAATTCAAAACGCTTTAACAGTTTGCGTCGAAATAGTTGTGGTACAGATAGACGAGTCACTTATGTCGAAAAGAAAGGGCAACAAAAGTTGATTGGTTCCACATATATGGGTGCTTGGTGGCATCGACTCGGCGACCAATGAAAATTTTCTTGTGTTGTAGCTGATGAACGCAGCATTCGAAAATTCAACGGGGCTTTTTATAGATGCTGCATTCTATAGAATTCCTCGTTGAATTTTCGAATGCCGCGTTCATCAGCTACACCACGAGAAATTTTTCATTGGTAGCTGAATCGATGCCGCCAAGCACCCATATATCTGGAATCAATCAGCTTTTGTTGCCCTTTCTTTTCGACATAAGTGACTCGTCTATCTGTACCACAACTGTTTCGACACCAATTGTTAAAGCGTTTTCAATTGCAAATAGGTTTATTTCTTCTGATAATCCACCTTTTTCTTAGAAAAAGAATCAAATTTTTTTAGAATAAGCGTGGTTGGCCATCTCCAACAAACATATATTTTCAGTTTTTGGCACGATATGGTTTCTTATAATCATTTCAATCAAATTGCAACAGATAAGTGTTAGATTTTCTAGAGTCGGTGAGTTTGTTTGTGCGTTTTAAGACAGCGCGATTTTTCATACTATCACCGTTGTATCATTATCATCATACTTGTTTGATCACTGGATCATCATGGGCCTCGTCGAGTTCCAACACCATTATGTAAACCTAAAACGAGTGTAGCTAAACTGCTCGTTTCATAAATTGAAGCCAAAATTATACCACGCATTATTTACGGGTGGCAAATTATCCGGCAATAAAATCACTCCAAACTGAATTGCGGCAAGCTAATTGATCTAATTCTTGCCATAAACCTTTCAAATTGTATAACCAAATTTTTGGAATCTAGTCAACTATCATCCTTCTTTTACGAAAGGGGTTGCGAGATTCGTTACTAGGTACGAAACTCGCACATGCTTAATCACTTAATTGTATCTTTCATGGGGTGGTACTTCGTTTTAAGCTACCATAGGGGGAATAGTTCAAGAGATCCAAAATGATAGAATAAGTCTAAAAGTCATAGTTTGCCACAACCAAAAAGTTTTCGTGACCAGTAAGGGCCGATAACTTTTCTAAAGCAAGCTCTTTAAAGACAACCTCTAGCATTTGTGCAGGAAGTGTAGAGGGAAGTGATTTAAATACTTAACAAAGAACAAAAGAGAAAAATATTTCCGCCTAAAACATGAACATAACTGTTTATCGTATTTATGTGAACACAACATACAAAATTTCTCAAACTAATTGACTCTATTGATTGAAATTTTGGCATTATTAAGAAACCATTAAATTTTAACCATTCGAGTTCCAAAACTAGATGAAACAATCCACAAAAATGTATCTTCAAGAGTATATGAACATAACTGTTTATCGCATTTATGTGAACAAAACATACAAATTATCTCTAACTAATTGACTCTGTCGATCGAAATTTTGGCTTAAATAACAAAAAATAAAGTTTCAAACGCTTGAGTTGCAAAACTGGATGAACTATTCCAAATAAAACGTTTTTGGAAATCTCAATTCGAATTACATAAAGTATAACCACAACGTGAAGCTTTTTACATTACGAAAGATTAAAAATGAGCATATAATTGAATATTTCAACCTAATTTTTTTTATCCGAACTTAAACTCAGAATTATATGTGACCCTGGTCGATTTGGATCTCCACAGTGTTTTTCTGGAAACTATTCATAGAATGTTATTCACCAAGATCTTGCAAGAATCTTGCAAGATAATCTCACTCTGGCAATCTCTTGCAAGACAACTTCCATCTGCCAGTCCTTGCAAGATAAGTTTCATTTGCAAGAATCCTGCAAGATCTTGCAACATAATCTTTCCTGATCGACTAGGGAAACCAATCATGTTTCATCTTACTGAACTAGTGTTTCTACAGATCTGTTTAGATTACGAAAAGTAAGTTGAGAACTCAGACCTAATTTTTGACTGAGGAGTAGGGAGTAATACAACCCTATCCGACCGAACATATGATAGCGAGTTACGGTGGATAAATTGTTCCAGAACTAATCTATGAGCTGAGCATCCCACTAATTTTCAATCTCGAAATTCTAAATTGCAATCTAGAACTAGATTTTGGGTCATTATGTAACATCAATCAAGTAATCAGCGCAAAGAGTGTGTGTTTGATCACAACTGACTTTCGAGGCCACATTTAACAATACCTCCTCTGATGAACCTAGTAGAAACGAAGCTTAGGACTATTTCAGTCTGCCTTTTCTCTTTTTCTGAATTTAAATGTAACTTGAAGTTTTTGTCATCCGTAATAAAAAGTACTGTATATTTTTTTCTCAGAATCATTATAATTTTTTTTTCTATCCAAAGTAAGCAGAAAATTTCCGCTATGATGTTATTCGAATCTTGAAAAAAATTACATTTTTCTATTTTTTGCGAATAAAGCTTTTTTTTTCGAGAGCAATAATCATACCTAGAATCGGATAAAACATTTAGTAAGATTTTACAAGTGACAATTTTTTTTCCTATTCTCTATGATTTCTGTTTCAGGCACCCATAAAACAGCCATTGCGATAAAATCTCTGCTCTATTTCAAAAAAGCGAAATTTTTTTTCCAGAAGGGCATCGTTAACGGTGAAAAGGGCAACCTTCAAGAGGCAAAGTATTGTTTCGAGGAGATTCGGCGCCCTATCGAAGAGTTCCGACAAGCATTCAATGAAGCCAAAAAAATGCCTTCTATTTCGGCCACTGATAAAGAATATCTTGTCGATCTCGACGCGGAAGTCGACATCTTAGAAAGTGAGACTCTAACTGAGATTACTCAAGTCATAGGACGAATGTCGCTTGCCGCTGCAAACGAGAAGCATGAAGAGGTCATGAAAGACCGAGAGATTTTAGACATTGACTTGGCGTACTGCGTGTATGATTTGTACCACTATGCTCTGTCACAAGTCCGAGACAAAGATGTCGAGCTGGAGGCAGAGATTTTGAGCATAATGGGCTCCTACCAATTGAAAGTACTCAAAATGCCAAACAGCAGAATCAAAGCAAAAGGGTACTTCAAAAAAAGTATCGAGCTAGCGCTATCATTGCATCCCAAAAACATGACCAATAAAAAATGGTACAAAGAAGCGGAAGAAAAATTGCGTGAACTTCAAAAAGATATATTGAAAAGCGAGCATGACAAGTCAAGTGACGAAAAAAAGCTGTATGAAAGGGAACTAATGGAGGTTGCAGCTTTCCTCGGTAATCGAAGAGTATCTGCCATTGATCAGTTCAAAAATGAGGTGTTGCTAATCATTAAAAAATACCCACCAAAAGTTGCAGGATTTGACGCTAAAAAAATTGAAGCCATAGATGAGAAAGACAATAAAAAAGTAAGTTGATGAAAAAACTGCAGTAATTTTCTTGAAATTTGCTCATTTGAATTTTATACGAACTTAAATTGTTCAAACTTTGAATGAAACTACCGGACGCTTCCTTTATTCGCGGATTGTCAATTAGCTATCCCATTCTACCGAATAGCCCAAAACTGAACAGGCGGCGAAGTTTAGGGCGAGACAAGAGTGCTATACTTTCTAAATTTGGGCCAAACGTTGGCACGATTTTTCAACAAGTCGACAATATTGTCAAAAAGCCGACATTTCTCCCTCGCTCGGTGGGTTCGAAGCCTGCCAGCCAGAAGCTTCTACTCCCTTCGGCACTGTTTTACGATATCCAGGGCAAATGTAGGATTTTCTCGAATTGAGAGGGGGCTGATTTAAAAAAAAATCAAAAAATTTGTCGACCCTTATTTTTAGGTCGGCGAAATTTATTTCCTGGCGCTCCTAGAATAGTATAAACACCCTATTTTGAGATAAACTTTTATACCACACAGACAAAATTGAAAATCCAAATTTCCGCACAATAACACCCCCTAAATCATCCCCTGACGACATCCATTTTGAACATGCAGGACATGTTCATGTACAATCAGAGAAATGGAACAAATTTTGTTTCTTTTTTAAGTTTCATTTTTGGTTAATTTTTCCAACTGTGGTATTGAATATTATGTTTAAATTTACTTTTTGAACTTTCCATGAGACTTCAAGGAACCTCATGAAGATCCCTTGAAATTTTGTTTAAAAACTCTGCGTCCTCTTCGCGATTATCTTTATACTTTTTGCTCTCAGTACAAATTGTCTGTGAGTTGATCTGTTCAGATTATCCTGAAGTCACAGCAGATATACCATCCGGATAAGCAGCCAAAAGATGACAGACTGTGGTACTTCACCTGCGAACAAATATCAGTGTTTCTGAACGAATTTCTGAATCTCCTCAAACTGGGCTGATTCGACAAGATGGAAGAAAATCATGTTGCTTTTTAAAACAAAACAAAACAAAGCGAAACAAAAAAATAAGGCGAAAAATAGGTGTAGTTAATTTTCGAAAAGCATTACCTAAAAACGAGGCAAACTTAAATAGAAATCTTCAAATTCTATGAATCAGTTTGTTTTCCTCGTACAATCTGAATTCGTTGTACGACAGCCCTGTTGAAAAAAAATGGTCGGAACCTTAGTTGTCATTCTGTCATAAATTGTCAACAGGGGCCATAAATACTTTCAAGATTCAATTTCAAAGACAAGCGGCTTTCCAACACGATATTTTAGTTGGTTCTACATAAAACAAGTATTAATCATTATTTTTCTGAGGCAAAAGTTACCACCGAGGCTGATTATACTCATAAATTTAGAAACTCTGCAATCAAAACCGCGTGGAAAATAACTAAAATTGATTAATTTTGTCAGCAAAGTTGATAAATAGTTCAGTTTGAATGAGTAGCTTAGCAGCAGTTTTTCAAAATACCAAAAAAAAACAGACGAACAATGATAAGACGTGATATGACATGACATAACAAAAAGCAATTTTCCATGGGCCAATTTTCATAAAATGGATATTTGCTTTATTATCCGCGCATCCCGAAATCGGTTAAAGGCAGGAGATGCTTAAGTTATTTTTTTTCAGCCTTCGAATTTTTTAAACAGAGCGCTATGAAATTTCAGCTCATTCAACTAGTGGGCAAGAAAAGGCTCTCTTGGCAGTTTGTTGGTAGTGTGCTCTTAAATGCGCGTTCGTTATGCGTTCTTTGGGCGTTAGTTGGTCTTTGTTGGGCGTTTGTTTTCTGTCTAAAATAAAAAAAATCCATACAAAAATTTCTTTAATAATGCAGACATTGAACAAAAAGCTCAAACATGGTCCAAACTTTATGAATACACAATGCTATCACAAGTTTTTACTGACATCTAACTTCTTTGCAATTGGAGGTCAGTTTGTTTACTTTCTTCGTTAACGTTGACTTTTTACCTACCGCAATTTTATCTACATTGACTGCCGCCATGGTGAACGTGTCTAACAGAGTGTACAGAACCTAAAAGTCTCAAAAGTTTTGAGTACCATGAGTGAATCAACTCCTTCGTTTTCTGCTTTGCTTCGTTTTGCCATGTGTTTTTTTTTGCTTCCGATAGATGATTAATTGTGAGAGCATAGACATAACAACAGGAAAATAGTCAGGACAATTTGTATGAAAACAATTTTCGTTTTGGTAAAAAGTGTTCTAAGCGATGACCAAGAATTTGACTGGCAGTGTAGGTAGCTACCCGCGTGTCAGGACATTTATGTCCCAGACATTTATGTCCCGGCAAAAACAGTCCAAAATGCAAAAAGTGTCCAAGACATTTGGTTCTCAGACAAAATTGCCCCAAAATTGTCCAGGCTATTGCCACACTAGTTAATGACCGGATTAATTTGATAAGCTCTCAATAGGAAGGATAAGGCGATAAGGCCACACAACTGAGCAATTAGACCAGAAATTACTTCGCGCAGCATATTAGAGACGAAATTAACACAGGACTCAAATCATTTACACATACCTACACAATTATTGCTTGATTGATAATGTTGCCAAACGTAGACACAAGAAATCATAATTTCATTGTTATTGCTCTCGAGTTCATGTTGACAATGGAAATTCTTATGACAAATAAAAACAACGAAATGCTAGTTTATGATGCATACGCATACTTCAAACATCGGATTCTAACAGACACCTCAATTTCGTGGCGGTGTGTTTTATCTAAATGCAATGGCCGTGTGCGCACTTTCCAAGATAACGTCACTATCATAAATGAACACAGTCATTTTCCCGATCCAGCCGATATTGAAAAACAAAAATTCAGGACAGCTGATAAAATGTTACTTTGTTGTAGCTAATTCTAAATTAAAACTATTAAAAAGAATATGGAGTTATGATGAATTAGTCGGTAAGTTAAAACATTAAAACAATGAGAGATCATTCTCTCCGCCGGAGAGAATGGCCAATGAAAGTCATATCAGAGTGACCAGTTAATTAAACTAATATGTTTTGCAGTAATTGCAAAACATGATGTAAATCACAACATTCCCCTAAGCAGGAAAAAAATTTTAAATTACGAATAAAGCACAATGACTAACTAAGTCTGACTCCTTTCTCCCCCTTTAAGGACGAGGAAAAGAAAAAATTAAGCGCCGTAAATAAGGAACTGACACTAACTGAAGCGCCTCTATGGGATTAAATTCAACAACTATAACTGTGAGAAATGATTATCCGGATTCCGACGGATAAGGGCTGGGTTAAGAAGTTAGAATGCGAAGAAGTTGTCGCCAAGTTTTATGGGTGGATCATTGATTTGCGATACACACACTAGAGGGAAGTCGGCTTAGAGAAATTATAAGGGCACCAGATGATGTTTTCCTTTACTGATGGTTTATCCGAAGGATTGTTTGATGGAGTACTCAAGTTTACTGATGAACATTTTGATACCTGAAGATTAGCACCGGTTTATAGGGTAATCTGTGCTCTTTGATATGCCAATATAACAGAATTAGGGTAAAGCAAAATGTTTACGAAGTTTTATAATCATTTAGAAAGTTTTCAAGTTCGTTATTAAAAAGTTCGCTGTCTAGATCAGAATGATCTCCAACATTTTCTAATTCCATCCTCAGCGATTCGTCAGTTGATGAGGTTGACATTTGGTCTGAAGATGTTGGACTTGAGTTTAGGACAATTAACTCCGCCGGAGTCGTCTTGTTGTTGGTCTCGTGTGATTCCTCAATTTCAATCACGATAGGATCGGCCGCCGAACCGGAGGCTTCTTGAACGTTCTCTACGGCATCAATAAAATAACGTTTGCCATAAAATTTTGGTGGGCCGACATTTCTACTAGAACGGCGGATGGTAGGAGGAATTTTACCGGATATGATAGTAGGATTGGGAGGTACAGTGCACTCGTCAGTTGAGTCGCTTATCTCGTACACCGGGAAATCTGTAACTGAGTTGTTATCCGTTGGATTACACTCGTCTTGCAGGTCCTGTTGTTCGATGGTGTCTTTGTCCCCTCCCTGGTTCATGGTTCTCTGTTTCGCAGTACTAGGTGTTCGGCAAGCGGGTATTATAATTATTGGGCACTCGTAAGATTGGTCCATAGGTTGTTCTCTGTTAGGGTCAATGTCGTTTTCTAAAATCTCAGATTTTATTTCAGGATTTGTTACAGCGGAATTAGAATTATTTTCGATTGAGAGGTGAGGTGTATTTGAGTCTGAAATAAAGCGTTCTCTGGCTACGTCTCTACAAGGGAAACCGCCCGCTATCCATTCCCATTCGCTAGTATCCGAAATAACCGAAGGAATTAGCATAGATTCATCCGAAGCAAGGTAAACTGGAGGAGTTGAAGACTTCTTTGAGTGGCGTGTTTGTCTTCTTGTAGATTTGTGTGATGACCCTGATATGCGTGTCCTAGTTAAGTTGTCGGATGGGGTCGGATCCAACTGTCTGGTCATTTTTTTGGTTGGCTTTTTTGATCTTGGTTTCCGTGTTGGGCCTTCCTGTTTCTGACCTACTTCAACATTAGCATTAGGAAAATACGGGAATGAAATGTTTCCTTTAAAAGTTCTGATTTTATTTGAGGTAGAAATAGGAATCGCAATGTCGGATTTTTGTATTATTTTTCCGTCGGATAATTCTACTGTCGAAGTGGATGAATTTATAATTCTTTTATTTAGTTCCTAATAGAAACAGTCTCGGTTTATGTTACCGTTAGATTTTCGAAGGATTTTACCTTTGAATGGACTTTTGATTGGTAGTCTATTGGAGGTGATTTTCGAGGATGAAGCATAGTCTGTGTCGTAGCCTTTTTCAGTCGAGTTTTGGTTCTTCTTGGCTATCAAATCGTCCTTGTAGCCGTCCTCTAGTCTATCATCCGCGTTCCAATCCTTAGCGCGTTCCTTAGACAGTATTGATTTCTCTTTGTCTAAAATTCCAAAGGAGGGTTTACCAGAAGCTAATTGTTTCCAAATAGTATTTGGTTTTCTGTTATAGTGAATCTCGAAGGGTGAACATTTAATTTTTGATTGATAGGTAGAGCGTAAATTCCAGATGATTTTTGAAACGGCATTTTGCAGTGTTCATTTATGATGTTCTTTTGAAATAGCCAGTAGTTTGACTTTCACAGTGTGTACTAATTTTTCGACTAATCCGTTGAAACGATGGTCGCCTACTGTACAAAAGATTATTTTGATGTTGTTGGAATCGCAGAATAATTTAAAGTCTTGGCTTGTAAAGCAAGTAGCATGATCTACCCTTATAGAATAAGGTATTCCGTGTAAGAATATGTAGTCTTGTAAAAACTCTATAACTGTTTTTGAAGAAGGAGACGATGTAATTTTTGCCGACGGAAATTTAGAAAATCTGTCAATGCAAAGTAAAATGTATTTATTTGCCCCCCAATAAGAATCCAAAGGACCAGCGAAATCTAAATTAAGTTCTTCGTTTGGTTCCGATATTGGAGGAAGTTCACTAATTTGTGAATTAGGGATAACAGTTTTCAAATTCTTACCCGCCGATGTACACTCTGAGCAATTTATTCCGTGAAAGTAAATTTGTCTATTAATATGGGGCCACCAGATGTATTGGGCCAAATATTTCATTCCGAATTGACCTGGATGTGTTTCGTGAAGGGTCTTCATCATCGCGTTTCGTAAAGTAAATGGAATAACGAGTTTGCCGTCCATGTAGAGTAATCCGTCGGATTCGTGTAGGTCGCGGGTGAAATGTTTGAAATACGGAGAATCTGCATTAATCTTCTCCACCTTATTTTGAAGTGCTTGAACTTAACATGGGGTCGTCTTCAGTCAAGAGAGCTACTAATTTGGCGTTAAATAAAATATTGGACTTAACATGGGGTCGTCTTCAGTCAAGAGAGCTACTAATTTGGCGTTAAATAAAATATTGAAATCCAAAGGTCGATCCGGCAACTTC